GAGAGAGAGAGAGAGAGAGAGAGAGAGAGAGAGAGACGAAGAATAGCGACGTTCGGGCACTATTATTGTTCGTCCGGCTTGGGCTGTTTCTGCGGTGGGCGCTGGACCCGAGCCCTCCTCCTTTAGCCTCTGTTTACGTCGCGTGGAGTTGTCGCGCGCATCTCGACAAAGAATCAATGCCCGGCCCTCCTCTCTGCCCTGTTATAGGGGAAGGGAAGGGGGAGATCGAGAGGCGATAGACGGGCAGGGATGCGCGACCCCGGCGGCCCCTCGGTGCGCGTCTATTGCTCCCAAAAGGAAGTCATAAAGTGCGCGCCGCGGCGGTTGTCGCGGAGGGGTCGGTCCTGGGCCCTGTGGGCTGGCCGGCGCGGGAGGGTGGTGAGGAGTATGGGTCTTCCCCCTGGCGGGGTGACGGCGCGAGCTGCTGCTGCTGCAGCCGGAGAAAAAGGAGGTCTGTCGCGGCCCTGCTCAATCCCGTAGTTTTCGAAAGGGCTTCCGCCGGAAGTCGTTTCCGGTTTCGTTATTTTCGACGCGCGTGCCCCTCGTCTGGTGCGTCTTTGTGCCGTCGTCGGGGAGGGTGCGGCCGCACTCGCCCTCGTCGTCATCCTCGCCGCTGGACGGTCACCCGCCTGCCCCACCTCGGCCGCCGGGGCGCCTGCGAGGTAGGCAACCCGAGGACACGCCTGCGCGGCGGGCCTGCCTTCAGCGGCCGTCGGGCGCGCACCCTCTACAGGCCGGGCAGGAGGAGGACTCCAAACGAGGACAAAAGGGAATCTCGCCTTTACACCGCAACTGTTTCTCTTTCCTCTCTCTCTCTTTTTTTTTTTCGTGTGATGCCCCTTGTGTGTATGTGTGGCCCCACCGGGACACGCCGTCCGTCCTACGGTCATCGCGCCCTGGCTAAGGGTCAGGCCGGGCCGACCTCATCGGGGAGGGAATCTATCGCTGGGACCGGCCGGAGCGCGGGGCGGAGTGGGGAAGGGCGGGGCGGGGGGCGGAGCGGGCGGCGGAGCGGGGTTACGACGAGGCGTCGTTATGGGGAGGCCGTGCTGTCGCGGGGCGGTTTGTCGGCGAGCGATACATTCATAACCTCCGCACTCCCAGCTCCCCCGCCGGCGGGGAGGAGGGGAAGGCTGCCTCTGCTTTGGCGCCGGGAAAGAGTCTGACGCGGTCCTCGCGCGGGGCGGTACAGCGTCCTCCTCCTTCTTTGCCCGCTTAGCCGCCACGGACTTCAGCTGAGGCTCGGGTTGCGGCTGCGGCTGGATAACCTGATGATCGATCCACTAAAACTTTTTGGGGGGGAATTATGTCCGGGCATTTGTTGGCGCCGGGCAAGCCCCTGCTCGCCCTGCGAAGGCACTGCGAGGGTTGGCGGGCGGGGCTGGTTGGTCTGAATTATGTCCTGTCAGCGGACTCCCTTACCCCCACCCCAGGCCGGGGACGGTCGGGCGGCACACGCGACTGCTCCAGCGCTGCCTCCAGCGATGCCCAACGGGTGCCTCTATGCTCGCGTCAAATCAGCCTCGACTGATGTGGAGGCTGAAGTGAAGACGGCTTTGCCGCTGTGCTCGCTAAGGCATAATTTCGAAAATTCATATCGAGATTTATCGTTTTGATGCGATGTTAACTGTGGGTATACCGCCACCGCGGACTCACGTTTTATGCACGCTGGGCTTAATCACCATTATACTGTCGCAATGACTTTATACTAAGCGACATACAAAGCGATATGCGCGCCACTCTCAGTAGCCGACAAGGAAAAGAGAGAGTGCGGCGAGTATGAAGGACCGTGTGCGGGAGCAGGGGCAGGGAAGGGGGGCTTGTGGAGAATAAAAATAAATTGCGACCGTCCGCGAAAGTGATGACGAAACCGGAAAAGAGAGATAAAAAGGAGATGGCTTGGGGGGTGGGCGGGGAGGGGGGGTAATTCATTTGTCCGTGAGTGGGGGGTGGGAAGGGGGAGGATGGAGGGGAGACTGGGCGATATCAATAACTTAACTCACTTACGATAAACGAATTGGCTAAGGAAGTTGTGTACATCGACCTTGCTCCGGCTCACCAGCAGCCACGGTCCAGCGAAACGGGGGAAGTCCCGACACCGCTGCGAGCGTTGTGCTAACGGTCGGGCATTTCACCTGGCATTCAAGTCACCTGGCTCTATGGCGGTGGTAATTAGAGCCAACTCCGTAAGGGCTTTGTGCAAATAATAACACTCAAAAGAAATAACTGGCTGTAATGCTATCTTGTTTCGCCCCCTCCGTCCCGCGTCGCCGCGTCGGCAGCGGCGGTAGGAGGTAATTGAATAGGAGATGGACGTTGATACGCTAATAAGAGCCGCGCAGCCCCCGGCGGCACGGGACGGGGTGAAACAATTGCATCGCAGAGCGAGAGAGAGAGAGAGAGAGCGAGGGCCGGAAGACGAGACGGAGCAGCGGGAGGGAGAGAGACAGAGAGGAGGGGGCTGCTCACTCTCAGCCCGCGTGTCGGTTCTCTTTGTCGGACCAACAGTCCGGGGTGGCGCTTCATTCACTTGCAAATATGCAGATGCTTGGGCGTCCCGCCGCGCCCCGCCACGCCCCGCCACGCCCCGCCACGCCCTTGGTTCGCCCCGCCCCGAGCTGACGACACGGATAGGGCTGGCCCGCGAGAGTGGTGGTCCTTGAAACACTTTTTACCCTTCTCGTTTTCCACCGCCTTTTACCGTATTATTTTTGTCGAGCCATTTGGTTTCCTTTGCTACTCGTCAGTATTGCATGATGAAAGTAAATAAGTTTTGTGGCAAGCATCTTGTGAATTTCTGTGCATGTGCGCATCGCTATAGTTGGCATGTGGAGGTTTCTGCGGTGGCGCTCATGGGATGTTGGTGCGGAAAAGGGGGGAGGGAGTGAGGGGGTGGGG